CAGTCTGTTTTCAAAACTGTGCTGCCTGCAGGCCTAAGGGTCACAGGAAAAGGTTTCCAGCCTTTTACCCTCATGACATTTCTGCTAGCTCTCTAACTCTTTCTTTCTCACAAACTGCAGACCCTATCTTTAATTCTGAAATACTCAGCATCAGTAATGCCCTTTTTACACCTCAACATGTCAGTAATTAACCTCATTAGCTGTCAGATATTGCAGACGTGTTTGTTTTTCTTTTAAATCACATCACACTCTATATGTAGACATGCAGCCTGTATTTATATGCATGCATACATTTTGTTATATTTATTACTTTCTTTGGTATCAACCAGGATTGAGTACTAACTTTGATGCACTTTGATCATACCTGCTTATTTTGAATTTGATCTCTGCAGCATGAAGGATGCCTTTATTGTCATTGCACAAACTTCTTTGTTTCAGCCTCTGCTATATTGCTGTTTTGAGGGGGGCGTAAAGTTTAGTTGTCTGGGTATTCTGCCAGATAATGCTATTAATGATGCATTAACACCTTGTATCAACAGTGATTAATGCTCGTCAGAGACATGGAAGTACCTTCTTTCCACCACACCATATGTTTAGCCACCCCCTTTGGTATTAGCAGGGAGAATGTTCTAGCAACTCGAGCACTGTGTGAGCAGAGCTAACGTTAACCACCTTTGAACATAAAACCATTACACAAACAGAACAGCTGATGCGGGCTGATAAAGGAGATCTGTCTGTCGTGTTTTAAACTGCTCGAATCAGTGAAGTTTATGAGGAGTCACCGCAGACACACTGACTCAAGATCTCTGGCTAATTTCTAGCTTGGTGTGCTAGCATACCAGTTAGGACAACTAAAAATCAGCACACATCTAGAGTTCATTTGGCTCTTGAGCGTATACGTTACGTTTTAAAATGGGTTTCCTGGAACTGCTATGGCAAATCTCGCAGTCTAACGCTATTACTACAATCGGTACTGAATTAGGTGGTTATGCTGTATTGGTGAAACCCTGAAAACTTAAGACTACAACTGTCGTCGGACACGAATTTATCTCCTTTGAAGTTAACAAGCAGCTGGCTTATCTTCAGACTGAGCGTGACTCGAAATGGAAAGAATGTGTCAACAAAAAGACGAAGCTGATGCTAAAATGCTTGTATTTAGTCAACCCGTGTTACTTTCTGTATGCAACACAGGCCGGATTTGACAGATGATTTCGAGAGTTAACGATATGTCTTTAAGTTTTCCTCTATTACACTTGAGGGTCGCTCTAGATTCTAGAAGAAAGACCACGATGTACTGCAAGAGATTTGAAAGGAGCTTGGCGTGACGTGTTCGTCAAACCATAGCGGCACGATGCTAACGGGTGGCTAGCTGATCATATTCCTTTGAGTACATAGGCGCTGATTTATAAATAAACCTTCCACGCTGCTAAAGCGAGGCTGACAATACAGCTAAGCGTTTCTCCTACCTGTCGTCTCCGAGTTTCAGTTGCGAATCAGTCCTAAAAAAGAGAATTTACGTTGCTTAGCTTCTTTGAGGAACACTCACTCAGTTCGTTCATAAGCTTGTCGCAGAATGATGTCA